ACTAAAAAAAAAAAGATTCTGTGTAAGGACCAACAAGACTGTGTGTAAAGAAAGCTGCTCCCCAACATCGAGAGCACAGTGCCAACCCTGCATGGCCTATGGGTCTCTCTTATGTAAAAGAGAAATACAGGGGCTGGCTGGTTAGCTCACTCAGTAGAGCAACAAGAGTTCAGATCCCCATACCAGCCAGCCACCAAAAACAAAAAAAAGAAAAGAGAGAAATACATTTCTATTATACTTTGTTTAAGCCATTATTGTTTGGTTTTCTGTGTTACATGGCTGAACTGAATCCTAACCAATAAACAGGAGATGAGAACACTTTTTGTTAGCAGAGGTGAGGCAAGGACTGTAGTAGAAGTGGGGTTTCATTGTGTTCACAAAGGTGGGAGACAGAGGTAGGAGGAAAGTAGGGGAGTTCACTCAGCAAGACTGGTGGTTGAAGCAAGATAGATTTCTGGATAAACATAAGTGGTGAAAGAAAAAATGGAAGAATCAAGGACATCCTTCAGTGACAGCTATAGAGGATGAGGTCACAGAAGGAGGCCGATTAGATTGTGAAGACTGTACCTTCATGAATGGATTAATCCGTTGATGATTTAATGGATGGTCATGGGCATGGTTAGGATGGCTTTATAAGTAGAGCAAGTGAGAGGGTTAACTCAGTCTTGCCCGGCCATTCACCATGCGATACAGAGCCCTGTACAGAGTTCCCAGCCAGAAGGAGGCCCTCACCAGATGTGCTTCCTTGACTTTGGACTTCCCAGCCTCCGAAACTATAAACAATAAACTTGATTTCTTTATAAATTACCTAGTTTCAGGTATTCTATTTTAAGCAACAGAAACAGACTAACACATATGGCTAGACAGGTTAGGTCCCTGTGTTGACAAAAGTTAGGGAGAGACTCAAGGTAAAAAGGGGGATCATTCCTGGAAGTGAAAACCCTGGGTGATCAGCATCCCTGCCTTCCTTACTTCCCTATCTTCACTGTACAGGCCTATGAACTCGGATTACAGAGGTCAGGTGACATACTTGCGTGGCACAGCCTGGTTTTGAAGGGTGACGGGGCGGGGAGGGGGACCGCAAGCCCAGTCACTAGCAGGACCCAGAATCCCTACAGCCTTAAGACTGTGGCAGGCCTCTGCTCACTTGTTCATAGTTTGTTTCCATCATTCTAATAATTCATAATTACCACGCCCAGAAACCTGCCTCAGTCTCTTTTCTCCCGCCGTAACACCAATTGTCCATCTTTCTTTCTCCTGTCACCACCCATAGCCCTTATGCCTGCTCTTCAGGGAGCTGACCTAGGAGACACGGTCTGACCACTGGGGAGCCCTCAATCAGTGGGGACGGGTCGCTGAAGGCCAGATGCAGGGAATCTCAGTGCTCAGGCAGGGGGTTGAGAGTGCATGAAGATTGGAGCACGGAGAGCCAGAGACGGTGGGAAGAGATGGCGAGGGGATAATCTCCCCAACGCCCGCCACCGCATCCATCTTCAAGGTCCGTGCGGCTTTCTCTGGCGCCACCTGGTGGCGGCCGCCCGCGAGCGGAGAGAGGACCCAGCGCAGGTGTCGGCGCCTGCGGGGCCGGTTCCCGCTGGGCGGGAGGCACGCCCAGCTTGGACAGTCGGGAACCGCGCGGCCCAGGGCCGGGCACGACTCTGGATTCTGGCGGACCCGGCCGCCCTCCGTCAGACCCGAAACCTAGTCCCTGGCGGAGGCGGACGCGTGCCGGTGGCGCTGTGGCTCGCTCGACGGCCAGAGCGAGCTTGCGCGCGCGCGCGCCGGAGACACTGAGGTCACAGGTCACAGAAATCACGGGAGCGGGGTATATTCATGAGAGAAATTGCAGGGGAAAGTTACCAAGTTGAAACATTTTATTGTTTGTTTTTTTTTTTTTTAAAGATGACCGGTAAGGGGATCTTAACCCTTGACTTGGTGTTGTCAGCACCACGCTCACCCAGTGAGCAAACCGGCCATCCATATATGGGATCCGAACCCATGGCCTTGGTGTTAAGGCGCCGCACGCTGTTTCCACCCTCCCTCGGGCGTGGGGACGCCGGCGCGACAGCGTGTTCCCATGGGTGATTCCCTGGAGGGCGGGGCATGGGGCTTTGTGCGGCTCAGGCCCCTCGGAGCAGACTGGGGGCGCGCTGGCCAGGCCGCTCCCACCTGCCGGCGTGGCGGCCAATGAAAGCTTGGCCTGGTGATGTCATGCCCCGACCGGACCCTGGTGACGAAGTCCGAGGTCACCAGTCAGGGAACCAGCGCAAACCCACCCGCGGGGGTTCCGGAAGTTTCCATTGCGGCAGCGAAGTGCGGCCTCGCCGCGCACCCTTGTGCGTGCCACCACGTTGGCCTTCCTTCTCGGGTGTCCCCGAGTCACCTCTTACTGCCCCTGAGGGTCCCCGCCTCCATGGCGGCCCCTTCATTTCTACTCGCGATACCATGTTCATATCTCCATTCCCACAAGTAACCCCTCATCCACTGGAGTGGCCCACGTCACCTTTTCTCCACCAGTGCCACCGGACCCCTGAGGGGGTCCTTAGCCACGCTTTCACGTGCCGCTCCTCCCATGCCACTCCTGGCTCTGTCGTGGCCCGTGATGCTCATTTATTCGGCCCCTCCGCCTTGCAATAACTTCCCCAACCTCGACTGAGGCTGTGAAAGTCGGTCACTGTGTGTGTCTCTCCGTCCGTCTGTCACGTGGTGTCTGGTCCGCCGCCGCGGGTCTTTCGGTCGCGTCTGTCACCGCGTGTGTGTCTGTCTATCGGAGTCTGTCACTGGAGTGCGTCTGGGCCCCGGGGTCTCTGGGTCTCGGCTTGAAGGGAGGGAGAGGGAGGGGAGGTGGCAGCCCAGGCAGGCGGGGAGGGG